CAATCACACTGAGAGGGAGTACCTGAGTCCTACACACACACACACATACACACGCACGCGCACACACACACACACACACACACACACACACACACACACACACACACACACACACACACACACACACACACACACACACACACACACACGCATCATGTTTAAGAATGTATCTCAGCCTTGGTTTACTGGAGATACACTACCTGACAAAAGTCTTGTTGTCTATCTCAGTTGTAAGAGCAACAAAATAATAACTTGACTTCTAATCATTTGGAAAAGTGTCAGAAGGTGGGTTTTTTCTGATGAACCCTCAGTTGAACTGCATACCAATCATCACAAATACAGCAAAAGACCTACTGGAACCAGCATGGAGCCAAGATTGTGACAGAAATCAGTCAAAGGACTCCCAGGGCGACATTGCAGGACTCCCAGAGTTCATCAAGATTCGTTGGATTCACCTTCAATGCCTCCTCCTCCATCTGAACCCAGACATGCTCAATAATGTTCATGTCTGGTGACTGGGCTGGCCAATCCTGGAGCACCTTCTGTACTTTCAGGAGCTTTGACGTGGAGGCTGAAGTATGAGAAGGAGCGCTATCCTGCTGGAGAATTGTCCCTCTCCTGTGGTTTGTAATGTAATGGGCAGCACAAATGTCTTGACACGACAAACTGTTGATGTTGCTGTCCACTCTGCAGATCTCTCACACGCCCCCATACTGAATGTAGACCCCATACCATGATTTCTCTCTCACCAAACTTAGAATCTTGGGTCCATGTGGCTTCCAGTAGGTCTCCTGCAGTATTTGTGATGCAGTTCAACAGATGATTCATGGGAAAAATCCACCCTCAATCCACCCTTTTTTAAATGATCAACTCGAAGTCAAGGTATTATTTGTTGCTAGAGATTGACAATAAGACCTTTGTCAGGTAATGTGCTTATTTTACTTAAAAAAAAATACTTACTTGACTTAAAGATTGTGTCTCGTTGAGTAATTTTTAAATCAAGAAACATTTTCAGGACAAGACAAAAATATAGTCTTGTTTTTAGAAATGATAAGTAAAAGCAAAGGTGAGTTTTTCCTTAAAACAAGCTAAATATTCTGCCCATAGGTCAGGCATGAAAAATCTCGTTTTGCCTTTGGAGCTGTTGTGAATTTCTCTCTCTGGCTCACGGCACAAAAACTGCTGTGAAATTCTAAGACGAGCCAAAATACCAGGGAAAACTCTCGGGCATCTTCAAAGCGGAATCCTTTAATAAGAAGAACTCCGCATTGCTGTGGCGTCATCGAAAGAACTCTGAACTAGTACAGCAGACACTCAGTTTAAATACATTTTTACAGACATTGTTACATGTAGGTGGGGACAGTCTAAAACAAAGCATGCAAATTAAATGTTGTTGTCGGCAGGGTAAATTGCCTTTCCAGCCCCGATCTCATCAGCATACAACTACCCATTCATGATACATTTTAGCATGAAAACAAAGTGTGCAAATGATGTTCTGGACACAGAACCCATTCAACAAGTTGACCGGCTTGACCATTTGTTTGACAATAGACACAGCTGTGCTGTGAAACTGGCAATTTACATTACTTTGAAACAGTCAGGGCTCAGGAAACCGAGACATTTTAAGGTCTGTCACACCCCAAAAACCAAAGAAAAAAACTTATTAGTTATATATAGATTATTGCTAATTTGAAACTAGATTATATAAATTTATATTCCCACAAAATATGATTATTTTTATCCCCCCATGGCAGATTGTTTTGCTTTGTTTTAAGGAAAAACTCACTTTGTTTTGATGCATTATTTCAGAAAACAATGCAATATTTTCCTGATAGCTCCTTGATTTAACAATTTTTAGATATTTGGACTTGAAATAAGACAAAAACTCTAAGCGAAACTCAAAATACTTGAACAACCCTAGTTGATGCAGATGCTGGAAATGTGCATTGAACATGAGAACGCTGAAGTCAAACTCACGGCTTTGGAGAAAGCGAGGGACCCGACTCCTCTCTCGAAGGTGCCGAGGCCGATGATCTGCTGTGTGGACAGACTGACAGAGTCCCAGATCCTCACATGTGGCTGCAGCGGCTGAAAGATGACACACAGACAGAAATATCACTGCACATTCATGTCTTTCACATTCAACTCCACAACATACTCCAACATTAGCATCAAAATGCAGCAGCTCAGAACACAAGAGATTTGTGGAGTCACTGTGTAGTTTAAACCGCCCCATTATGGATTATAAAAGGTTTATACTTTGGTTGTACAACGAGTTGTGTCTTGGAAAATTCTCTTGAAATGAAATGCTTACACAGTCACAAGCCTTAAAACCACATACAAATGTTTTCACTTTATTATGTTTAAAGTGCCTAAAAGAAAGAAGCCTAAAGTGGCTTTCACACTGGACACGGAAAGCGCTGTGCTATAACTGTAAAACTACTGTAGTTCATTTTAAAGACATGATGACAACCAAACGGAAAAAATAATGCAAATGCAAAGTGTTATTTTGGTCCTGCATGCATATCAGCCTGTTGTTGGGCACTCCCAAAACCAAAACCTGAGCCTTATTCATTCATTTTCCTTCTGTGTAGTCCCTTTATTCTTCACCACAGCGGAATAAACCGCCAACTTACCTAGCCAACCCGGGCTCATTGTGGAAACGTAGCCCTGCGGACATTTCTGCGGACCGCGAGATACGTCCTGGGAGGTACGTATTTGAGCGGTCTTTGTTTTCGCGGATCCGCGAGAGGCCGCTGTGCACGCTTATTCGCGTCTCGGGCGCCTCTCGGGAGCTCGCGCCGTTCGCGCCCGCGCTGTTCTCGCGCAAAAAGCTGCCGCACTCCTCTTCCTCCTTCTCCTCCTCCTCCTTCCCTAAACCCAAGCGACAGTTTTAAAAAAAACAAAAAAAAGCAAAAGCCCTCGTCTTCGATTTCGACCGCGTTTTCGGATCCCGCCGTGTTTTCGCCCTTATTTTTCGGATTCTGTTTTTCATCTTACCTGATTTCTGGAAACGCTGTTCCCCGGACTCGATCCCGGTCGTCGTCCCCGCGGCCAGCTCCTCCTCCTCCGGGGCCGCCGCTCCGCCGACGCAACGCTGTGAGCTAAGCGGACAAACTGGTTGCATCGGGAAAGCCCTCCACTTGGAGGCGAGCCGTCGGCCGGCGAGTGCAAAGTGGAGGAGTGGAGCGGTGCCACACCGGCCCGCAGCGTTCGCTCGAAAAAAACTAAACGCGGCTGTACGTACCTCCGGCCACGTAAATCGCGGTCTCCAGAAACGTCCGCGGGGCTACATTTTGTGCACAGTTTATGAGTTTAAAGTAGTTAGAGCGTTGTAAATACTCGCGATCGCCTCCCTCGCGACAGAGCGAATATGAGGTAAATGACGTCAGTAATTATGACCGGTTATGTTTATTATATTTGCTTGTCTTCAATTATTATATATAACCGGTTATGATTATTACTAAACCGATACCGAATTGTCCGCGGGGCTACGTTTCCAAAATGAGCTTGGGTTGTACCCAGCATATGTTTTACACAGCTGATGCACTTCCAATACTGGAAAACACCCACACACTCCAACATACACACTCATACACTATGGCCAATTTAGTTTATTCAATTTACCTACATCACTGTGGGACAGTGAGGGAAACCGCAGCGCACGGAGGAAACCCACGCAGACTTCACACAGAAATGGCAACTGACCCAGCCAGGACTCGAACCAATGAACTTCTTATGAACCACTCAGCCACCGTGTCGCCCAATATGGCCATTTATAAACACATAATAGGAGCACTTTAACACAAGAAAACTGATCCTCAGAAAACTCGCCAGCTAAAAGTGCTGGTAACACTTCATAGTCACAATTCATTCAGTTTAAACAAACCATTACTGAACATTATCTTAATACACTACCAATTAGCTGTTTATTAATAGTATATTTAGGGTTTGTAAGAAAAGATCATACTTTATAAGCGCAAATAAACAGTTAATTTCTTAATAACCGGCAGGTATAAGCCAGTAGTGAATGGTGTGAAGTGTTCAACTAAAGTGTTTGTTTTTGTACTTTCTAGATGTTCTGTTTGTCTTCAATGTTTGTTTGCTAAAGCAGAATAGAAACTAGCCAGCTATTCCAGTTCTGCTCTCTTAATTTGCAAACCCAAGCACAAAAGATGGAATGCAATATTTGTAGCGTAGCTCCTCGGACGGAAAGAAACGCTTTGAGAAAATCGACTTCCTCAGGAGCGAGAGAAAATAGCAGTCAATGGAGGAACAATATCATGTCAATGCAGTTATGAGATTATGAATGCGGAAAGACAGACAACAATTTAATTTTTAAAAGCATTTTTGACATGCCTAGAGAAACATTCTTGTCAAAGTGAGAAAGATTTACCCTCCCGTGAATTAATTTCTGTCAAATAATATGATGTTTAACAGAGGGAGAATTGTTCACAGTATTTCCTATATATTTTTTTTCTTCTGGAGAGTCTTACTGCTTTTATTTCGGCTAGAATGAAAGCAGTTTTTAATTGTTTTAAAGTCATTTTAAGGTCAATATTTAAAGGTGTGAACCTATACTGGTCTCACGGTTCGGTTACGATTATCATGCCTTCGTTTCGGTTCAATTCGATATCTCGGTGCATCGACGATGCTTTCCATATACAGTATTATATTTTAGGGGCGAGGCCATAACATGCTGTCTGTATAAACACACAAACACACAGCACCACACTGTCTCTCATTCAAACACATACACAAACATAGACAGCAACAAACAAACACACACATACACACACACACTTAAGCCCTCGCAACAGGGAGAGCTCGAGCTGAGCGGAGCAGAAAAACGAAAAAAAGAAGCACTTTTCCGACGGTCCCTTACTGACCTCCTCTCAGCGTGAGCTCTCTCGGCTAAACACATATTGCGAGGGTTTAAACGGAGCAGTGCTCATAATGTCGGGCGAAAAAAAAGAAAGACAGCTGTGAAACATAACCAGCTTAGTCTTTTTGTAGGAAACACACTTCAGATCTTTTTAGGGTAAGAGTTTTTTGAGTTATTGCCATCTGTAACTGAATGTGTGTCAGAAATATCGTAAACAAAATCAACTGAACCGCGCTCATATCTGGCACGCCCCTGGATATACAGCGCCCTAAGCATTTGCCTATGGTACCTATGGGCCGGCCCTGAGTTTGCTCCTGAGTGTTATAAATACTCGCGCTCACCTCCCTCGCGACAGAGCGCATAGGAGATAAATGACGTCAGTACATAATAACTGGTTAAGATTATTACTGAACCGATACCGAATTGTCCGCGTCTGCATCGCGGTGCAATGAAGAAACAATTAATTTTGACACCCCTATCAATATTATTATCCCCCTTAAGCAATATTTGTTTAGTATTGATGCACTGATTACCCTAACTTTACCCTAATTAACCTAGTTAAGCCTTTAAATGTCACTTTAAGCTGAATACTAGTGTCTTGAAGAATATCTAGTCTAATATTATGTGCTGTCATCATGGCAAAGAGATCAGTTATATATGATTGTTTCATGATTAGGAAACATTTCTCATTCTAATATAAGAGTTTTATTGCTCAAACTCACCCTGCCGTCTTTATCCACTCCTGCAATCTGTCCTGTGGCGATGCGGATCTTATCCGGGTGAACAGCGAGGCTACAGGAGAAAAAGCACAGAGACACTGCTGAAACCTCACTGCTTTCATCATCTGTTTGTAACAAAGTACATCTATGGTAAACACTGCCCATCAAACTGATGCTTATCAGCTTAAATTTTCTTCAAGTAAACAAAGAGAAAACTGAAGTCATTGTGTTTGGGAACAGAGATGAGGTTCTCAAGGTAAATGCGTACCTTGGCACTAAAGGTCAAACAACAAAAAATAAGGTCAAGAATCTTGGTGTGCCTCTGGAGTCAGATCTGAGTTTCAATAGTCATGTCAAAGCAGTCAGTAAATCAGCATACTATCATCTCAAAAACATAGCAAGAATCAGATGCTTTGTTTCCAGTGAAGACTTAGAGAAACGTGTTCATGCTTTTATCAGCAGCAGGGTGGATTACTGTAATGGACTCCTCACTGGCCTTCCCAAAAGGACAGTCAGACAGTTGCAGCTCATCCTGAACGCTGCAGCCAGAATTATGACCAGAACCAGTAAATCAGAGCACATCACACCTGTCCTCATGTCTTTACACTGGCTGCCAGTTACATTCAGAATACATTTTAAAGTATTATTACTGGTTTATAAATCACTAAATGGCCTAGGACCTCAATACATTACAGATATGCTCACTGAATACAAACCTAACAGATCACTCAGATCTTTAGGATCATATAAACTAGAAGTTCCAAGAGTTCAGTCAAAGCAGGGTGAATCAGCTTTCAGCCACTATGCCCCTCGCTTCTGGAATCAGCTTCCAGAAATGATCAGATGTGCTCCAACATTAGGCACATTCACTTCAAGACTGAAAACACATCTGTTTAGCTGTGCCTTTACTGAATGAGCACTGTGCTGCGTCCGACAGATTGCACTAGTATGTTTTTCTCTTCATCTTCATTCTTTTATATCACATTTTAACCGTTTTTATTCTTTTTTTTAATCATTTTTATTATTTGTTTTTATTTTTATTTTACCTGTTTCTTTTATTCTTGTTAATGTAAAGCACTTTGAATTGCCACTGTGTATAAATGTGCTATACAAATAAACTTGCCTTGCCTTGCCTTATCGGCCAATGCAGACCTTCAGTAGCCCCTTTCACACATACAGACCTTTCCGGAAAATTGCCGGCAATTTTCCGGAAAGGTGTGTATGTGTGAACAGGCCCTTTTTGAAAATACCGGTAAATTCGTTCTGGCTATTTTCCGGAAAGAGAAGTTGTAACATTACCGGCAATTTGCCGGAATGCTGCGCTGTGTGAATGCAGAAGGAAGATTCCCGTAATAAGCGCGTGCACGTCTAGAACGTGCTGACGTGAGACGTCTGCTTTAGCCAATCACAACAGTCAGACGCATTTACCTCCGCGCGGTTTGTGAGGATAAAAGCCTTTGAATATTTTTCCAGACACATTTAGCTGCTAGAAGTTAGTCAGATCACGTTTATATGTTCTTCTTAATGCCAACTGTGTAAATAATCATCGATGAGATGCTTATGATAAGCCGTTGTTTGTTTACCTTCAAGCTTTGCGTGCGCCTATGAGTGCCAGCACACGCACATATTATGAACATCTCGACATGAGAAAGTGATCCTGCGAAAGTTGTTCACAATATTGATCATCCACAGAGTTTGTAATTTAGTCAAATGTTTACAAACACAAGCGCAGCCGTTTAAAGCTCATTTGTGGTGAATGATGTCAGAATTTACCGGTATTTTGGAATGGATGTGTGAACGCTCTTTTCCGGAAAATTTCCGTAACGTCCTCGCCTGTGTGAACAGCGTTTTTTTCAATATACCGGTAAAGTCTTTACGGAAATTTTCCAGATATTTACCGGTATCACTGTGTGAAAGGGGCTAGTGACTCTTTAATGGCCAGTTTCCACTGAGTGGTTCTGTATGAATGAAATGTACTCTGAGAATCGTACTTAGCATGTATTTCCAATCAGTCTGTGCTGGATTCTGTCTTGTAGTTGCAGCAGTCGCTAAAATCATTATTATATGTATATGTAAATAACAATTTTTTTAAATGATGGTCTCGATGTTATGACAGTGTAAAGTGTCTATTTGAAGACAAAAACACAGCTGAAACCAAATTATTTGCCCTCGTGTAAAGTTAAAATTTTTCTAAAGTACTGGGTTGCAGCTAGAGGGGCATTCGCTGTGTAATAACATATACTGGATAAGTTGGCGGTTCATTCCGCTGTGGCAACGCCTGATTAATAAAGGGACTAAGCTGAAAAGAAAATGAATGAATGTATTTCCGGGGGAGGCAGTGGCGCAGTAGGTAGTGCTGTCGCCTCACAGCAAGAAGGTCGCTGGTTCGAGACTCGGCTCAGCTGGCGTTTCTGTGTGGAGTTTGCATGTTCTCCCTGCATTCGCGTGGGTTTCCCTCAGGGTGCTCTGGTTTCACCCACAGTCCAAAGACATGCGGTACAGGTGAATTGGGTAAGCTAAATTGTCCGTAGTGTATGACTGTGAGTGTGTGGATGTTTCCCAGAGATGGGTTGCGGCTGGAAGGGCATCCGCTGTGTAAAAACTTGCTGGATAAATTAATAAACTGAATGGCCAGTCTGATCCCCTGAAGCATCTTTATCATATCAGCTCATTTGTTTAGCCTCATTTCCATTTCGTGAGCCTCAGGAAAACTGAACTAAGCAGTCATTCACAAAGACAACCATGCATGAGGAAAAACAGGCAACCGACTAGCTGTTATTTGCCTGAACAACAGCATTTTTCCACCAGTCTCACCATTTGACGCAGTCGGTGTGCCCCACATAGTGGCGCTGGGTCCGCTCCTCATAGTTGAAGAGCACAACTACTGAGGCGATGAAGTACACGATCTCTCCAGTCGGCAGCAAGTATACGTTTGCACGACAGTCACGTCCCCTGTAGCCGTATCTACACTCTGAGTCAAGGAGGATACGAGGACACACTCATAAAGTAAACACACACACATACAGTTGAAGTCAAACTTATTTCCCCCGTCTGTGAATTTTGTTTTCTTTTTCTAATATTTCCCAAATGATGTTTAATTTCTCACAGTATTTCCTATAATGTTTCTTCTTATTTGTTTTATTTCGGCTAAAATGAAAGAGGTTTTCAATTTATGTAAACCATTTTAAGGTCAATGTTATTACCCTAATTTTACCCTAATTACCATAGTTAAGCCTTTAAATGTCACTTTAGGCTGAATACTAGAATCTTGAAGAATATCTAGTCTAATATTAATGGCAAAGATAAAAGAAATCAGTTATTAGACATGAGTTGTTAAAACTGTTATGATTAGAAGGGTGCTGGAAAGGAAAAAATCTTGATTTTTCCTTAAACAAAAACTGGAGAAACAGAAAATACAGGAGGGCTAATAGTTCTGACTTAAACTGTACTTGTTTATGTGGTTTACGAGGACACTACGGCGTTTACACTGTCGGGTCTTGACGCCCAATTCCCATTTGTTGCCTATATCTGATTTCTTTGCCTGTCTGTTTACACGTTGTTTTAATTGCGACCCATATCCAATTCATGCGCCGAAGCAGTGGCGCAGTAGGTAGTGCTGTCGCCTTACAGCAAGAAGGTCACTGGTTCAAGCCTCGGCTCAGTTGACGTTTCTGTGAGGAGTTTGCATGTTCTCCCTGCGTTCGCGTTGGTTTCCTCCGGGTGCTCCGGTTTCCCCCACAATCCAAAGACATGCGGTACAGGTGAATCGGGTAGGCTAAATTGTCCGTAGCGTATGAGTGTGTGTGTGAATGTGTGTTTCCCAGGGATGGGTTGCGGCTGAAAGGGCATCCACTGGAGGAAAAAAATTGCTGGATAAGTTGGCGGTTCATTCCGCTGTGGTGACCCCAGATTAATAAAGGGACTAAACCGACAAGACAATAAATGAATGAATAAACGTAATTCATGCGTTTACACTTGCCATACAATTTACGATGTCGTGCATGCATAAAGGCGGGTTCTAGCATCTGCGCAACGCTAGCCACGATGGAAGAAATTGTCTTGTTTTTAGCTCTGCGAAATATGCGAAGTGTAGTATAAGCAGTGCATGGTTCAGTCCAGATTTACCCCCACGCACTTTATGTAATGGTATGGCCCTGATGTGTGTGTGTAGTTGAAGATGTAGCCTTTGCCTGTGTGCACGCTGCTGTAGGAGAAATTAAAGTAGCCCGCAGTGTGTGTGTTAATAGCGACAAAAAGCAAACGTTACAACACGAAGTTCGCCCAACTTCAAAATGATTTTGAGACGGCGGAGGTGGGAAAGGGCCGTCATCGCAGCTTGCGCTTATGGTTTACATGCTTTATGATGTCCTCCAGCATTCAGAGGAATGTATGGGTACGAGAGAGATCTCAGGTCTGGTGGGAGCAAATTGTGGCGACTGACCACTTTCCTTCTCTGATGTTGTTTCCCGCGTCGGCATCTCCACACACGCTCTACCTTCTGTCATTAAACCGTGGAGAAGCACCCCATTGCCGCAAGTTTAATGATCTACAGAGCAGAACGCCTCAATAAATCCGATCTACCTGTTTACATGACTGTCGCATTGTCACATATTGTCATTACTTCCACAAATGAAGGAGGCCTGAAATCAATCTCTGAATATCCGAATGCATGCGTTTTTTTCGTGTTTACACGGTCATAGAACAGATCCGATCTCTGTCACATATGAGCAATCGGAATTGGGTCACGTTTAACAGGCAGTGTAAACAAGGCCTAATTCGTATAATGAAGGGTATGACCTAGTTATACTCTATTAAGGTGAAAACCCTCGAAGATATAGCAGTTATTGAACTTGAATGGCTCATAAACATGAATGCGCTTGTCAGAAAGGATACACCCACTCCAGCTTGAGTCTCTCTGGGGGAAGTTCAGTGCGAACATCGTCATAATTCTCCACGTCTGACGGGATGAACATGGTGATGGGTCGACCTCGCATGAACATCTTGATGAACTCTCCCTCTGTGGATGAAGGAAAAGATGCTCTCAAAAATACTCTGACCATTAAGAGGGAATAATAATCAACAGAAGCTACTGCATACGAAACACATTCAATTCAATTCATTTTTATTTCTATAGCGCTTTAATATGAAACACATTCAAATTAGGTTTGAATTCGTTACTGGACTTCATTACTAATCCATACTGAAATTTTAAAAGCATCCATTTCCAGGTAACATTCACATGCTCAACAGAAATGACTGTGATTGGCCATGAAAGTCATCAGTTCACCAAACTTCACAGATGTTAAACACAGATACAGGGACACTGGAGCGTTTCAAAGTCAGGTCGATCAGCTGGTTTGTCTATAAACTGACATAAGAGTGATCCACTGATGAATCGCTGCTTTAAAACACTCCATGTGTAACCCTGCTGGTCTTATGCCACTCAATCCGCTCCGAGCTGGTATCAAACCGGTGACCTTCCGCATGGGAGTCGGTTGCTCTAACAAGGAGGCTAAAGACCATGGCCTCTAGCATCTGTCGCTAGAGCACCTTTAGAGGTCAGAGGAGTGAGGTTTACCTGCACAGCACTTACTAGCTGGCCTCCGTTACACTCACCCCCATAAACCCCACTGGTCCTACACCACCCAACCCGCTCCCAGCTGGTATCGAACCGGTGACCTTTCGCATGGGAGTCGGTTGCTCTAACAAAGAGGCTAAAGACTATGGCCTCTAGCATCTGTCGTTAGAGCACCTTTAGAGGTCAGAGGATTGAGGTTTACCTGCACAGCACTTACCAGCTGGCCTCCGTTACACATGCACCTGTTTAAAATGTCACTGTATCTGTGGTTACACTCAAATTAGTTTTTAAATATAACATGTTTGTAAATGAAACTCTTTGACAGGGTAAGTAAAGATCATGCTCTGAACTCATTAAAAACCCAAAGCAAATCAGAAGTGAAGCGTGGAGAAAAGCAGAGCAGCGACAACCGCAAATGACACTGTTTTCAGAACGAAAAAGGAGGTTACAGAGGAAACATCAAAGAGGTGAAATAAATGGACATGTCAAAAAGTGAATGTGATGCAGTGAAGCAGAAAAACAGTTCTATATATGTATGTGTGTGTGTGTGTGTGTGTGTGTGTTTGTGTGTGTGTATGTATATATATACATGTGTATATGTATGTATGTATGTATGTATGTATGTATGTATATATATATATATATATATATATATATATATATATATGTATATATATATGTATATATATATATATATGTATATATATATACATACACACACACACACACA